CGCTGGGCTCTCCCCGGCCTCCCCCGGCGGCCCCGCCCCGGGTCTTAATGGAGAGGTGGAGAGCTGAGCCTGGGTCCGGTGTTCTTCTTTCAAAATTTTTTTTCGAGCTAGAGAACTTGATGGTGAGGGGGCTCCGAGCAGTGCCTGTGTTTGTTTGATATAGACACGGTGCTCTCCTTCAGCTGTTTAGGCCTGAGGGCTTCGAGGATGCTACTGAATTTTAAAGACCTTGGAGGGCGAGGAAGACTTCTGGCTTCTAAACTGAGTCTTTATAAATAGGGCTCTGTGCCTAGTTGGTCTTAAAATCATAATTTGACTGTCTCCTACTCTTTACAGGCTCCGTCAGGGGTCTGTAACTTTTGAGACTGGCACTTGTAAAATGTTTGTGGAAACAAAGCAATAGTTTTAGGTTCTGGTGCCTGTACTTTGGAGCTTAACATATTAAATTAACCACAGTAGGCTAGAAAAAATAAAATGTTGGTGAGTGAAGAATTGAACTCAGAAAATAATTTTGGCTCTGGTGGATGACTCAGAAGAATGTACATGCATGAATTCCTCAGCAAGGTTGGCTTGGATGTAGCAAAACTTTTAGGAATAGAAGCTTCTTGCTCCTAGGACTAAAGAGCTCTGAGATAGCCTATGGACTTGGTGGCAACAGCATCCAAATACATGGAATCTACCTTGACTGCATGCTGCTCTTGTTAATTTGGGGTGTAATACAGCTGCCACTTATTAGTCAGAATGGGGTATGGTTGCATTACCCCCTTTTTGCATTATCTGAGCAACTTTGTATGTGTTTTTGTCCATAAAACTGTCAATGCTTAACTCGGTATCACTTAAAAAAGTAGCACTTGATATTGAATAAAATAAATGTTTCCAGTTCCATATCTATTGTGTTTTGAATTCTCTACAGGCTTTCAGTTGGAGTTCTAAGTAAAAGATCCGTTGATGGATAACAGACGAACCCGTCCACATTGTTCTTATCTCCAACTGTAAGCTGCTGTGGAGCCACAGTCCGTCATCTCTTAAGTGGTGTATGCTATATTATGAAAGCCTAGTTGGCTTTATTGGCCCCATAGTGACTGTCTTCTGGTGTAGTTTCTTTGCTTATCACTCACTTCTATTGAGCTTTTGTATTTTTGATTGTTTGTTTTCTGAGGTAGTCTTGCATGATACAAAATCTTGATTAAAAATAAAGAGGTTTTTGCAGATATTATAGGTTATTCCTATCTGTTAGCACATTATGAATATGCATGCCCTAAAAAAACAGAACAAAACAGGAACTATCTGAATGCAGGCATCAAGGGAGAGACCTCGTTCAAAATTTTAATTGGGAGGTTATCTGATTTTAACTTAGGAGAATGTCTAAAATGATATGCTCCTGAAACAGTTCAGATGTAATTACAAGCAGATTTGTCAGATTGGTCTTTGACCAGAGCCAGAATGTGCCTCTTCTAGAACTAAAAATATAGATGGAAAATGTGAGGCTTTTCATGTATTACAAGAGCATTTAAACTTTCTGTGTATAGATGTGCATACATAGTATGGTTTGTAAACTCGGCCTCTGAGAACATAGGGTCTATGTTCTTTCATAGTTTATCTTTTTCCTGTGTATGTGGGCATGGTTAAGAATGCAAGGTCGTGTTCACTAGCTTTCTCACTGTTGCTGTCACTTAAAGGCATACCCTTCCTAATTGGATTTATTATCTGAAGGTCCTTTAAGATAGGTAACATACAGATGGTCTCTCAAATATGCTGTTGCAGTATAAATTTGGTAAGGAGAAAGGCTGTTTAAGGTTACTAATGTACAGCTGGTCTCTTAAGTACGCTGCTGCGGTATAAATTTGGTAAGGAGAGTAAAAACTGCCTGGATTGTGCAGCATTTTAAGTGGTGCAGTCCTTGGTTTATGAATACCTAGGTTTATGGCCATGCTTTCAAATGAGTGGCACTCTCTTCAATATTTCTTTTTCTGCTGCAGCATTCTGGGATTCTTCCACATAATATTGTGTGCCTTCAGTGTCATATAATATAATGGCCAGGGACTAGATGGTACAATATGGAAACATCTGGGGTTTCCTTGAGGTGTAGAAATTAGAATATCTTCTTTTTTTACTTTGCTCTGAATGGCACAAATGATGTCATGCAGTGGGCAGTGTATATTTATTCTGTCTCACTTACAGTTTTACTGCCAGTTTTGCTTAATGGAAAATGGATGTGTTACTTTTGGATGACAGGGCATGGCCTTACTAAAATGTGTGTTGTGAGTGGGAATTCTGAATGGAATATTCAGACTGACATTTCAACAACTGGATTGTGGATAAATAAAGATGTTTGAATGTTGACATGCTTAAATACATCTTAAAGAATACGGATGGGAAAAGGGGCCAAGAGAGGTGCAAGTATTGGGGGTGGGCATCTGAACTTAGAAAATGTAAACTGATTAAAAGGAGAAGGGTCAACTAAAATGTAAGGTGTTTGACTGCAGCTGAAAAACAGCAGAGTTTCTTCTTCGGAAAAATGATATACAAGTATACTTTTTTGTTGGGACTGGTTGGGAGTAATCTGTGAGCTAAAGAGGTAAGTTCCATGGAGCAGCAAGAGGCATGGGGGAAGAAATGGCTTTTCTGAACATTGGCTGCAGGGAGGGGGAGGATTTGTGGTCAGATACATGCTGAGTATTTGAGTCTAGAATGGAGGCAAATTCTGAGTATGTCCTTTGTACTGCTGCAGACTCACTATTTCATCTAGATCTTACTGTTGTACTGGTATAGCAGAGGTTCTGCTTCTAACGTGAGTGTGATTTGAACTTCCTTTGATGTTACCTCTGCTGGTGATGGCTGAAAGGGATTCTGTGTTTCTCTTCTCCCGTGTAAGCTGTCTTCTGAGCCTACTATCAAACCCAGACATCCCACAAAAACTTTGTCACGTCCTTTTCCAGTTCTTATTATTCTTTTTAGTTTCTACATTGCAGGAACAGAAAGAGCACTTAATAAGAAATCTGTGAATACAGAATAAATGGCACCTCTGAATTTTATCAGCATAGACTTGCTAGCCCCTGCAACAGCTAAAGATAACACTGCACTTCCTGCTTGCTTTAAGATTCCCAAACGCATCTTCTGGTCCACAGGATGTAGTTGTTGAACAGATGCTACAGGGGGTTATACAGGCTGCCTAGTGACTGCAAAGGACATTCCTGTGATTAAGGTTCTGTAATCTTGCGGTTATAATAGTGTAGGGGGAAAACAAATACCTGTCTTCTCTGAGTAGGCTGAAAGGCTGAGTGGAAGAAATAAGCTTTGTTAAACTCGCTGATTATTCCCTGACTTTGAAGAATTGTGCATTTGCTGAGATGTTCTCATGTCTAAAGGAGAATTCTGGTCAGAAGCAATCTGAATGTTTGAAATGAGGTGTGATTTATTGTGTCTGGGTCCTTGAATTCTGCTTTAGAATAGTGGTTATGATTCTTGCACAGCTATGCCTTTGGGGTACTGTTTACTCTACTGAAATGATCTCTGGCATGCTTTTAATTGACTCAAACTGTCCCAGTTAAAATAACCATAAGAGATGCAGACAACTACCCAGTGCATTCTGGAGGGCTAGTACTGATTATCCCACTGTAAGCCAAGTTAGGGCCTTTTCTGTGATTGCTGACTTAGTTCTAATTTGGAGGTAAAGTGAGGGGAGAGCTGCACACATTGGAGTACTGTGGTTATAGGGAATCTGGCTGTGGGTGTGGGAGAGCATAACGCATCCAGAAACTTGACTCCTAATTTCAACTGCTCTAACAGCTAAACAGCATGCCGTTTCTGGGGCCGAGACCAGAATTTAGAAGTTCTGCCTAATTCCAGTTTTTGGCCTTAACTGCTGTGTTGCTCTCTCGTTCTAGTAAATATTTTAGATAGTGAAGACAAAGACGTGGTCTAACTTTCTTCGTGCGTGGGAAAGTATGACCTGGCTGAGTTCTGAGCCACAGCTACTGAGTTCTATCATGGAAGAAAGCAAGGGCTCCAGGAAAAGGTAGAGCCCCTGCCTAGATGTTGTTTATGCTTAAATGGGCAGTATGCAGGAAATTTTTGTTACTGGGGTAAGGAAAAAGCAAGAAATCTATGAAGTGGCTTGAATCATTTATCTGCTCCTGTGTTCAGATCTTGGTCTGCTTCCTTCTGGCAGATTCTTTTTTATGACTGTCTCATCCTCAAAATGTATGATGCACAGCATGTCTGAAGAGAACTAATGCTTCTCTGTCCGTACAGTGGTGAATGAAGATGCATTTTATTTCACTGATTGTTGCTAAGCCAAGGCATTTCATTTTAGGAAGCCAAACACCTGCACACTGAAAAGCATTTCTTGAGTAAGTGGTAAGAATTTATGCTACGCAAAGATATGGCAGAGGAAATAGAGGGGGGGCAGCGGTAAAGTAGGAGACTTAAAGGCATGTCTCCACACAGCAGTCAGCAGGTGTGAATTTTGAAACTAAGAAATTGTTTCTTAGTTTTGCAGGGCATGGCCCTGCACCTGAGAATGCTGCTTGCCCACTTCTCTCCATTTGGTATCTGTTGTGGGTACTCAGAAGGACTTTCCTTGTTGACTTTCCAGTTGAAAGTCAATTTCCTTCAACAAAGAATCCTAGAGTAGTGCATCTGAACAGAGAGTTCAGCTCACTGCATTCAGTGGGCAAGATATGGCCTGGCATGTGCTTGGATGATAGGCACCATGTGGTTTAGAGCTTATAGTCATGAAGCTGGAAAGAACACCTAGGTTAATTTTTTGTGTTTGGGAAGGAGCATGATTAGAGCAGAAAAATGTCCAGACTGTTAGAATGTAGTTTTGGCTTTTGAAAAGAAGTGTAGTCTAGGCTTTAGATAGAGGGATTCAAAGTTGAGATTTCTGGATATAACTCTTTATTTTGCTATAGCCTTGAGACGTAATCTTTGTTTTCACTTAAATGCTTTAGCATCCTCGCTAGTAAAAGAGGGAGTGCTCTAGTAAAAGAGGAACGCTTGGCACCTGCTTCATAAAACCTGCTGTGCACTTGGGTATGCTTTTTAGTCCCTGGAATTTCTACCCCCTCCCGTCTATGTACTGCCTTTCTCTAATCCGTTGTAGGGATTCTCAAGTCTTTACTGTTTCCCTGCTGCCTTTTACTAGCACTCTTCCATCTTCTCTAGTAAGAAGTGTCATTTGTCTATCGCTCTCATATTATCCATGAGATGCAATTAGTCCTCCCTTCAGTCA